ACGCGTAATTTATCTTGAAGGCATTCCATTCCTAAAAGAAATATCGATTGCAATGAAAACTAAATGAAGTAGTTAATTTAATGTATGAGTGTTTCTTATGCTGAAAGCGCCAAAAAGAAAATGAAAATATCCACTGAAAAATTACAAATTTAATATTCATTTCTGTAAAATATTATGTTATAATTATACCGATTTGCTATATAAAGTAAGTATGTATTCGATAATTGCTAAAAAACTAATTAATTTTTCTATAATTTCTTAATTTTCGTTTTTGTGATTATTTCCTTACTCAACGATATTATCAAAGAAAGTTTTCAACCACCACAAGCGGATGTTTCAAAACGTGTATGAGTTCATTGCATGCTTCCAACAAGTCACTAAGAAATTAGCTGCAACCAACAAGATTTCCATTTGTAGCACATCAAGATGCAAATTGATTATTAATAATTAACGCCAATACAATCAATTATATGTTCTAAAATAAATTAGATTTCTTCAATAGATTTGAAACGAAACGCTCGTGTCTATTTGAAGATTGGTTTAAATTTAGATAAAAAAATGCGTTAACAAAAAAACTGCATGCTTTGTTGGCCATGCCCCGAACCAATAGAATTGTTAATAACGAAAAAAGCCGTGCGTTGCCGATCCCACATTTAGAATTTAGCGATATGATTCGCAGCTGCAACTAAATTTTTTATGACTCTCTTATCTCGTTTTCGGAACACCTTCTTTTCGTGGCCCAATAAGAACTGTTGAAACGTTCAAAGCAGTTGCGATTCGTCGTCGCTAAACTAAATACGATATAAGTATATTCATAGTCTGCATCACTTATTAAAATATCACTGAAGTTAATCATCTTAATATATACATATTTCCAAGTTTCCATCTAAGTGTAATAACAATAATTTACAGCTGGAACTTCATTCTGCAGCCCTTTCTGCACTCGATCCACCGGATAAAATGGCATAACATTAAGGTTGACATTTAACGGCTAGATTTATGCGGTAACTTTTAAGTTACGACCCAATAGCAATTTGATTACTGAAAACTGAACGCATGAATTTCAAATTTCTAACAGCAGTTATACAACATAATATAATAAATAAGTTATAGAAATAATTACTAAAATATATGAATATAATGAACAGCAGACATAAAAGTAGGAAATAAAAAAAACACGTGAATCATATCAGCGGGCTATTGACCGTAGGTCTTTCCGCCCTAATAAGTTTATGTCTTGAGTTTTACTATACAATACAATATATTTACAAACACGGTACAAAAAATATTCTAAATGATGAGATTATCTTACATGATATCTTCTGTATTCAGTTTTCTCTAAAAGTATACAAAATTATGTTGATAAGAACATTTCTTCAGAGCATATTATAACAAAATGAAACTTTAATGAAGATTCGAAGTTGTAATCGGTTCAAGTTCAAATTCTGAAAGTCAGTTGGACGTGGGTATTTGGCTTCGGAATTTGCATTATTAATTCGTAATGAAGTTGGGCAAACTTTCGCGATCCCCGCGATGATTTACATGTGCGAAAGCTAGAAACCGGTTCTCCCGCCAAAACGTTAACTAACCGGAAGTATTTGAATTTTTTGTCGTTGAACCTGACACTATTTCGATCTACGTAGGTTGTGTATTGAATGGTGAAAGAACAACGTGCGTAATCGATAGGGGATGAGTGTTTACGGTCGGTCGACACGCGTCAAAATAAAACCCGCGAAAGATGGGCGATATGCAACACAGATAGCATGTTTACCTGATTACGGACGTTGATGACGAGCTGCTGGTCTGTGGGTCCGACCTCCGCAGAGACGAGGACCAGCAGGATGCACAGGAACTTTGCCACGAGATCGGCGAGAGTCATCCTCGACGTGAACGTGCTTCGAGCTGCAGCCGGAGGTCCCGTCCGTGACCTGATCACAAGGAAGTCACACGCCATACTGAACAGCTGATGTCTATGTAGTCCCTGCACTATGCAACCCACATGGCGCGCCACCCCTCAGACGGCGCAACGCGGCCATGTGGTCGTATCTGGCGCCGGCGTCGACGCCGCCACCTTTCATCTTTTCCCGGCCTATCATCTTCTTCGCACCCCAGCTACACGGATAACAATACCCACTGTTTTCTACACTTTTCACAGCGTATAAAAGCATATACATTATCACCTATTATCACAAAACATAAAAAAAACGCTTGTTGCACTTTTTACGAAATGCGCATAGTTTACATAGATAATTAATTTAGTTCACACTTAATTTGAATGAATAAATAATCACTTACTTGAATAAACGCTTTGATGCAGACCTTATCGATTTACACTTGATTAATAATTTCTCTTTTAATACTGCCTAAATGCTATCACTAAAACATGCCCTTTACGTTTAAGTGTTTTCTTTTACAACTCTCGTAATATGCATTAAATTCAATAGATTCTATTTATTATAGAGAATAATTCCAACCCAAAGTAATAACCAAATTATTAATGTTTAATCTTTCACATAGACATTAGTTAATAACTTTTTTTGTTACAAATTTTCATAATTCATACAACTGACCATTTGCATGATTTATGATTCCCTTGAGGTATGTCTTCCTATCCAGTTAAATATATCCTTCTAATGCTTAAAAGCGGCTCTTTAATGAAAAACGAGTAGATAGAACCTTGCGTGAAAATTAGACAAGGGATAACATCTAGATATTAGATAGTAATGAAATTTATTCTGAAATGTCTTTCTATACCTAACGCACAGCAAATAACTTTCCCAAATCCCAAAAAATATTTAAAAAATACTGCATCATAATTGTATGATTTCTTAACTTTTAAAATAAGTTAAAAATTTATAAAATTCTATATTAAGCAATAATTTATTATAATTAAAAATACAAATAATTAAAATTTGTGTACTATCTTCAAGTTGAAGAAAATAATTTATGATTTATATCAGAAAGTAACCCTAAAAATAAGATAATGATTAATGATTATACTTCTTACTTGAGTCAAGTAGGAGCGTTTCTAAATTAAAAAGGGATTAGATAGAACCTTGCGTGATAATTTGTAAAGAGATAACATCTAGATTGTAGATCATAGGTAGCTGCTAAATTTATTCTCAAGTGCGTTTCTCAACTAAACGTGTAGAAAAATAACTCACCCTTGAGTCCCCACAACACGTAAAAATACATTTTTTTAAATACAGTGGAACCTCGCTTAACGAGTTCGGATTTTTACTCGTATTGTGAAACATATTGAAAAATACACATAATATGTGTACACAAGTTTTAAAAATGATCTTCTTCTCATCGTTACTCGTTATACGAAACGTCACTCGTTAAGCGAGGTTTCACTGTAATTGTTATCATTATTATTGTATGTATTATTATTTTATTCAAATAATTTGTTTTGGCATTTTTTTATATAAAACCATCAATATGAAATTTCTGATTACATTTTCTTTCAATTAACATTCATTTTCATTGTGAACATATATGAATTAATTAGATTACATAACGCACAAGAAAATGAACTGACTGTAGAGTTATTATATTCAATAAACGTTTTACGAAAGACCGTCAATCGATTTTCTCTATATAAATTATTTCTATTTTAATACTGTCCAAATTATGTCACTAAAACGTACCCTTTATATTTACCTGTTCCCTTTTTATACCTTCATCAATATGTTATTTATATCCACAATCTATACATTTTAACCCAAATTTAAGTAATATTAGCACTTTAAATACATATTAAATTTAGTTAATAAATCAATACTAATATGTTACCAACATTTGTCTTTCGGTTAATTATTGTATTGTAAATTTAATTAACAAGAATATAAAATAACATGAAAATTTATTATGTTCATACGTTTTGCCTTGTAGTTTATTTGATCCCACTTTCGTTTTATTAAAATATCAACATGCAATTTCGCCTTCGTGTATTCTCAAATGAAATCCGCGTAGATGGTTTCCAGTATACGCTTTACTTGCTCTAAGATATTTCTACCTATCTAGTTTTCCTCAATATGTTCTTCGTCTGAATTTCATTTTTGCAAAAGTCAATCGATTTTTAGAAATTTTATTATTAAAATATCTGTTTTCTTGTAAATATTTATTTCACTTTTTCTAATGTATTCGCTAATGGTACTAAATGTACAACAAATATAAAATAAATGATAACTTTTGTTGAATGAAGTTAGTTTTTGAATTTATTTTCATGGATGAGTTTTGTCTAGGCAAAAATATCAGTGTTTCCAAACATTACTACTATATGTATTTTTTAATTTCTGTAAACTATTAAACTGGTCTTAAAACAACAAAATACAGTGTAATAAAACTAAGTTTCTCTTGAATTGATAGATTTTTAATAACTATATAAATAAATTTAACACGATTTCTGTTTTTAATTCGTTAAACATTCATTATTATCTATTTTTGTTAAGGTAATTTGCTTAACTTTATTAAATGTATTGTGAATTTCAATTTTAATCATGTAGCTCCATCTAAAAGTTGCTTGCTGAACTTTATATGAAAGATGTTTGAACAAGAAACAGAAGTACAGCTACCGTTTTCAGTAATTCATATATTACGTACTTGATGTACGTACAATTACAGAAAATGTCTGCAGTTACCTATTTATTTTATAATACGTTTTAACAAAAATGTAATAAAAGTTTCATTCAGGAATTGTTTATAATATGGAGAAAGTATGAAAAGATCTAATAACTATAATTTGTAAACTAATGTAACAAAAAAATACAAAATGTTATCAGTATTACATATACTGTGGGTTGTTTCAGTTGCCTATACTATATCTATAAGAATTGTTATCAGAAGAAGATTCTAATAGGCATTTACATGTAAAATTAGTAATCTGCAAGAAAATATCTTCATAGTATAACTCTAAATTGTATATTTAATAACAATATTGTAAAAAGTATTTCAAACTTAATGATTACGTTATTTATTTATCATTTCGTTATCGTCACAATAACCTAGAATTTAGTTAAACATATAAAAGCAAAGATGAAGTACGTTCGCGATGCAAAAACTATATTCCTTAATGCGGTTGGTGCTGTGCAGCCGCAGAACTTCTTACGAAACAGGGTTAAGGTTTCATCTGGCAAGTTGCACGTCGATGCAGAAACTTTCCCATTGAATCGACCTTGCCACATAGTCGGCTTCGGAAAAGCTGTATTAGGTATGGCTGTGGAAATGGAGAACATATTGAGTTCTAATCTTCGTAGCGGTATATTGTCAATACCTGCTGGTACCCAAGAATGCTTCAAAGATCAACCTCAGCTATTGCTGAAAAATAATTCTGTTTTGAGAATATTCGAAGGCGCCAAAGATAATATACCTGATCTGGATGCAATGGAAGCGGCGAAAGCCATCAAAGATCTGTGCGTTGGTCTCACCAAAGATGATTTACTTCTTGTCCTCATATCAGGCGGTGGAAGCGCTTTGCTACCTTTACCTAAATTTGGATTGAGTTTAGATGAAAAGCAGAAAATTATAAAGAATCTTAGCAAAGGTGGAGCCAATATAATCGAATTGAATTGCGTGAGAAAAATGTTGTCCGAATTAAAAGGAGGTGGATTAGCGCAGATTGCTTATCCTTGCAGAGTGGTAACTCTGATCCTCTCTGATATCGTCGGAGACCCGATTGATTCCATAGCGAGTGGTCCAACAGTCGAGAATAAAGATGCTCATCTCGCTATGGAAGTGATTAACAAATATAATGTGGATATTTCAGAGATCGCATTAAACATTTTACAGCAGCCAAAGTTAGAGTCTTTTAATTACAATCACGTTGCGAATTTTATTATCGGCAATAACGAGATTGCTTGCGAAGCTGCCAAACGATCCGCAGTTAATTTGGGTTATAATAAGGTAGAACTATTTTCGAAAGACATTCAGGGTGACGTCGTGGATGTGGCCAAACGATATCTGCAAATTGCTTTGGACGAAGTGAAGAAAAACGAAACAGTTTGTATTATAGGAGCTGGAGAGCCTACGGTTGTGGTTAAAGGGAACGGTTTAGGTGGACGGAACCAACAGTTGGCTTTGGAATTTTCCAAGATCGCATGTGAGGCTGGATTGGATTTTTGTTTCCTCAGCTGCGGAACGGATGGTATTGATGGACCAACAGATGCTGCTGGTGCTGTTTCCACAACGGTCATCGGTGGTTTACAGGAGATCGATGATTTTTTGGAAAATAATGATGCTTACAGTTTCTTTTCTCGTTACCAGAACGGAGAATTTTTGGTAAAAACTGGACACACTGGAACTAATGTTATGGATTTACATATTTTAATTTTGAAACCGAAAACTTAAACAATATATTGTGTATATACTTATTTTTGATTATGTAATTATGATATTAATATATGGCAAATATTTTTTATTAATAGCAGTTTTGTTCAAATCAAGAGTGCATTAAAATGTGTACTTGGTTGCCTACGATAAGTTTTGTAAAACGTAATAACAAAGTTTGTTCCTCAAAACTATAACGTTATTTAATAGACAAAGACTTATTATCTAATTCTAAGAAGATAAATAGTCAAAGTCATTGCTTTTCTAATCATAATCCACTCAAAATATTTGTTTTAATATGTCTTTTCAACACACTTTTATCACAATCTCGCTGCTGCAATCTCGTTTACATATCTTGGATAGACAATTGATTACATAATCACAATTACCAAATAATTACAAACATTAAAGATACATCTAGATAAGTTAATATCATTCAAGGTAGTCGGAGATCAGACAATTAACTTGTTGTTTAACAAATAACAGCAATTTTAGATTGATACCAACAAATTTTAATGTAGAAATTGTACATATTAAACTTATTCGAGAGAAAAATTATCAATAATAAATATGTCTTTCATATTAAATATTTCACTATATAAACACTTGATATTACGTTCACTACAATATTAACACATAAAATATTTAGTCATAAAGGAATAATGTTAAATTGTTTACATTTTGACGATACGAAATGAAATTCTTCACTAATTTTCTAACAAAACGTAATGTTGGTCCGTAGGAAGCTCTAAAACTAATTCTGGATCAAAATTTAAGCTCTGCTTTACTTATATTACTAAATTAAAATTAATGAAATACCACAGAAGTGGTAGAATTAGTAGAACTGGAAAATTATAACAAAATTTGAATTCTGAATATTTTTGTTCATCAGCAATAATAATTACGCTGAAACCCACATGTTCAAATGAAACTTAATCTAAGAAAAACATTGATCAATATGATTTCTTGTTACTTACAATTTTAGTTTTAATAAATAAACATAAATTTAACGATTTCGGTTCATGTAATTTGTTTCGACATAATCCAAACACGAATTCACATTCTATTTTCGATTTATACTGCATTACTTAATATTCACTCTAAATGCATTTTAATGAATTCATTAATTTCGGTGTAACGGAAATTTTATTTTGCAGAAATCAAAACTTTGCGTAAATTCAATGAACAAATTTGCAAATAATCAAAAAAAATATATATTTTTATTATGAATTATATTTATAAAATAACAAATTATAATTATACAATTAATGTAATAAAGTACACAAATAAATTACCTTGAACATCGAAAACGTTCTTTTTTAGAAGTGCTTATAAAAAGGAAGTTCACTTCTTCAGAATTCAGTTCAACCTTAGGATCCAACAAGAACACTCAACAATGAATTCAATCGTAAGTGAACATACATTAATCATTTTAAATTGTAATTCTAACTATTTGCAGATTCTTTTCTCTGCCTTTTTGGCCGTCGCTTTCTGCGCCCCAGTCGAGGAATCATTCGTCGATTTCGCTGAAGACACTTTGGGAAACTACAAGCTGAATTACATTACCAAGAACTCGTCCAGGACTGAGGAGAGGACTCAAGATGGAAAGGTTATTGGAAGTTACACTTTCTTGGACACCGACAGCGTGAAACATACTGTAACTTATGTTGCTGCTGAAGAAACTGGATTCAACGTCGACAGCGCTGATCTTCCTGTTGCTGTACCAGAGACTGAAGACAATTTGAAGACACGCGCTGAGCATCTCGCTCTTGTAGAACACGAGAGAGCCATCAACCCAAAGTCCGATATCGAAGAAGTACCTGTACCAGTTGAAGATGTTTTAACTAAATTGGTTTTACCTGAAATCGCGTCTTTACCCGCCATTGCCGTGCCTGAAGATGATGCTGAAACCGCTGCTGCTAAGGCCGAACTTTTGGCTGCTTACGCTGAAGCCTTGGATCGTTTGGCTGTAGAATATAAGAAGCTGGCTTAATTCGTTGTTTACTGATAATATTTGTTATTGTTTTGTTGATTTTTAAATAAATTGTTTTCTGTTATACATGCATACAATTTTTTTTATTTACATGCAATTGTCAACTAAAATGATAAAGTTTGTTGAAAGAATCACAGAAAATTAACATGAAATAAATTATATAACAAAGCATAAACCCTATTGTGAAGTATTTTGTTATACAAACTTTATAAGAGAATGCAAATTAATATAGCAAATCCAAATTTTAAAATGTTAATATCTATTCTTCTGGCATTTAAAAAAGAATGCGTAAAATCATGAGTCTGATACCAAAAACTCTATACTTTCAATACTACTCTTTTATACAGAAAGATTCAACTTGTTCAGCAGAATAATAAATTTAAAATTAATGAAAACTTTTTCTATCTCTTGTAATTATGAAAATAATATTATACAAATAATGTAACGGAAATTATTGATTTTATGTATTGTGTCTACTATAATTTAAAATAAAATTAAAAGTTTTTCAATATTTTGAAATAATAAAAAGAAGATGTACACTTTGTATAACTGAACAGAAAATGTATTACTGACGATTCTAACACATTTAAACTGAATATTTTTAGTAAAAGTAGTTTTTTTTTGAAGAACAGATCCAAGAACTTATGAATGAAATATTCTTAATAATGGAATATTTAAAGAAATAATGAACAGGAAGTAGATAGTACAAGTGTAATAACTGCTCACTTTAAAAGACCTTGACAAAGCATTTTCTTTAAATTTCAAAAGTAATTAGTGGCAATGTATAATTATATAAACTATACACTATTAAATACTAATTGCAGATAAAAAAAATGCATCCACTTGTAATATATAAAATCAAATTATTATTTACATAATAAAAATTATAGAAAAAAAAACAATTAATCTACCTGATATTCCATTGAAATACATAATATCAGTTAACATTTGGTAATTAAGTGTAATTTTACTTAAAAAGTTAAGTAAATTATAAATATGAAAGCCAATTCTTAAAATTTGATATTTTGATTATTACTTTGTTTACAAACAAAATATAACATTTTTAATAGGTAAATTCGTCTTCAAAATTTGTATACTTAGAATATAAATGAAATACATTTTCTGTCTATAATTTTAATAACATTATTTATTAAAACATTTTAACATACATACAATAAATTAAAACTTAACAAAATAAAATTTGATTACATTTATCAAAACTTATAAAATGAAGCGGATTTACTTTTTAAGTAGTTCACAAATGTCCATGAAGACGATTATTGAATACAATGAGACGTTTACTTTTGTAACTGAACTACCTTGAAAATTGATAACGTTCATTTTCAAAATTAGTATAAAAAGGAAGTTTCGTTTGTTGGAATTCAGTTCAATCTGAAGATTCAACAACAACAACACACAACCATGAATTCAATTGTAAGTAAAATTAATAATAATTTGTTAATTTTAATCATAATAACTAACTATTTGCAGATTCTTTTCTCTGCCTTTTTGGCTGTCGCTTTCTGCGCCCCAGTCGAGGAATCATTCGTCGATTTCGCTGAAGACACTTTGGGAAACTACAAGCTGAATTACATTACCAAGAACTCGTCCAGGACTGAGGAGAGGACTCAAGATGGAAAAGTTATTGGAAGTTACACTTTCTTGGACACCGATGGCGTGAAACATACTGTGACATATGTTGCTGCCGAAGAAACTGGATTCAACGTTAACAGCGATGATCTTCCTGTTCCTGTACCAGAGACTGAAGACAATTTGAAGACACGCGCTGATCATCTCGCTTTTGTGGAACACGAGAGAGCCATCAACCCAAACGCCGATATCGAAGAAGAACCTGTACCAGTTGAAGATGTTTTAGCTAAATTGGTTTTACCTGAAATTGAATCCGTTCCTGAAGACGATGCTGAAACCGCTGCTGCCAAGGCCGAACTTTTGGCTGCTTACGCTGAAGCCTTGGAACGGTTGGCTGTAGAATATAAGAAACTGGCTTAATTTGTTAAACATTTATTATTTTTTCTGGTTTTCAAATAAATCAAATACTATTTACATTATGTTTTTCTTTGAATATCAATTTTTTATCTGTGCTTCTCCAAGAAAAAATGATATTGCAAGTAAAATATCGTTTATAGACTTTGGCAACTCTTTTTTCTCATATCTACAAATAATTGTTAACTGTACTATATAGAAAATATCACATAAGATAGTTGATAATTGAAAACAAACAAAAAAAATATACATTTATTAGTTGTGTATAGATATAATTCATGTAATAATCTTACGATTAATTCTTAAGAAACAATATTATACAAAACTTTAGATGTATAACAATCTAGTCCATAAATTTATCAGCTCGGTAACAAATAGATTATTCAAGAAATAGTTTTATAAAAAATAAAGTCTATGTTAATTTAACTGCAAAAGTAAGGAAGAAAAATTAAATGTAAATAATCTGTTACAACATTAGTAATTCAACACGTTATTTCATTTGAAGGCAAACTAAAACTACTTCAAGTTTGTAATTAAATTACATTTTGAGAGAATGCATTATTTTGACAATAATACATTAATGTCTCACCAAAAACGTGTATTTTACGCTATTTTTAGGAGTTTGTATAATTATAGAGCAACAATTAATACTGTAATTTCCTTAAATGTCTTAATGAGGATTTGGAAACTGCATAAAAATAAACAGCACAAAAAGCTACTTGTTTGTAAAACAAATCATTTTTGTATAAATCATAATGTTTTGTACTAATTTATACTAATTGAATAATTAAAATTTAGTTTAGTTTTGACACTATATTGTAGTAAATCCGCACTGATCGAAATCGCACTCTAACAGTTATTGCTGGATTATTATCAATAAATGATTTAGTAATAAAATCTAGTTTAATATAAAGATTTTTTTATTCCAATATAAACATATAACAAATTAAGCAAGTTTCTTATATTCAGCAGCCAGTGTTTCTAAAGCTGTTGCGTAAGCAGCCAACAGTTCCTTTTTGGCGGCAGCCAAATCATCATCTTCTTCAGGAACTGCAGCAGCGGGCAAAGATGCAATCTCTGGTAAATTCAGTTGCGCCAGAACGTCTTCGACTGGAACGGGTTTCTCTTCGACTTCGGATTTTGGGTTCAGGGCTTTCTCGTGTTCGACCAGAGCGAGATGTTCGGAGCGAGTAAGAATGACGTCCTGTGGTTCCGGTACAGAAACCGGAAGATCTGCTCCCTCGGCTTTGAAACCTTCTTCACCTGCAGCCACATAGTGCACAACGTGTTTAACGCCATCCGTATCCAGGAACGAGAAACTGCCGATCACTTTTCCATCCTGAGACCTCTCTTCAGTTCTGGACGAATTCTTTGTGTTGTAGTTAAGTTTGTAGTTGCCCAAAGTGTCTTCGGCGAAGTCCACGAAGGATTCTTCGACTGGTGCGCAGATGGCGACAGCCAATACGACAGATAAAACAATCTAAATTTAAAACAAAAAACACATTGATTATATTATAGATATTAACTATATACTTAATTTACTTACAATAGTTTGCATTGTGATGTGATGTTCTTACGACGATAGACTTAAGAATGAATTTAGTCGGTGGAAGTAAGTCTATTTATATTACTTCAACAGAATGACTTTTTAATTTCATTTAACTTTCAAGGTAATTAAGAACTTAAAGGTTTTATGAATGAAAATACATATTACATATCAAATATCTATTACATGTAACTTTTTTATCTTAAAATTATTTATATTCGTGTTTTTGTTGCAACAATTAAAAAGCTATAGTTTTGCAAATATATAGAAAGAGATTAATGTATATAAAATCTGTATATTTTAATCAAATTCAATGCTTTTTTCTTATTTAAAAATATAAACTTTGCACCGTGCAAACTTTGCAATATATATTTGTTATTTATATAAACAATAAATTTACTTAATTATTAATAAGATTACATTATTCCATTCTTAAATATTTTCAATAATTAATGTGTTAAAAATGTCGTTAATTATTTTAGTCATTAGCGCCACTAATTGCCATTGTATTCATTCAATTCATTTACACATAATTAACAGTATTATTGCAGTATAATATTCATTTTTTATAAGATTCTGTATGATATTTTCAATAATTGTGATGTAATAATTTTGTTTCTACCATTAGTTAGTATTCATTAGAATCTTCTTGATAACAATGCTAGATTATTTAAAATCAAATTGATAATAGAAATATACATTCACTTCTATTTTTAATATCATTTCTAATTTCACGCATTCCTTTTATTTTTTGAATGGACGAAATTAAGAAAACAATTTTTGTGTGAAATAATTAATATATTTTAATAGTAAATTAGCTGTTGGGAATGTGACTGTCTACTTTAAAACAATTACTGTTTCATTAGTTGCATTCATATACGTATTCAATGACGTTTTTCTGCATCTTTCATTTTATTTTTATACAGTAATTTGGATTCACTACAAAAATTTCAAATTAAACTAAATTTTAATTGAACTATACATTTTTTTCGATATAATTGGTTTTAAAGTCCTGGATTAGTCTGGTTTCTAATAGTGTATTAAACTCATTTTACTTTTCCAAATTTTTTATGTAAAATTTCTCAAATCTAACATTGTAATAACTTTTCCTAACTTCTCGAATTATTGTTTTTTTGCGAGGCCGATCAATTTCAATTGAAAAATTCTCAATATTTATTTTTTAAAATTATAAAGTCAACAAATAGGCTCGATGCACGTGCATAAAATGTTAAAGTATGAGAGTTTAGAATCATTATATTATGAAAGGGGATGTAAAAAGTGTAAAATACAACTTTGGTTAAATATGTATGTGGGGTCTAACAAAAGTTCGCTAAGTTGGCGTTAATACGTTAGTTTCTGTTGTTTCTCAATTTGTTGAAGTCTATCGATATTTTATGTCAAATTTCAAGAAGATGGGTAAGAATGGATAGGATAAAATGCAAGATTAGTGATGTAATGTTAGTAGAAATTCCACTTTTTGTAAAATCGTAACAGGTGATGAATCTTGATTCCATAAGTTTGACCTGAAAACCAAGATGCAGCAAAAATCAGCAACAAAAGTGATGATTTCGATTTACTTTACAAGTAAAAAGTCTTCAGTTCAAAAGAAGAGATCATTAATTAAAAGTTGAAAAGCTCCAAATCCGATTTTGAGGAATATTTTGAAAGGTGTCTCTACTAACTTAAGAAATGTATTGAAATAAATGGAAATTTTGTAGAGAAATTACAAAAGGATGAAAATTAAATAAATTAAAATAAAATTGTTTTTATTTTGTATTTTTCCAGCCAACATAACGAACTTTTGTTAGAATAAACTCATTAAAATTCAAATTAATAACACTTATTTATTATTATATTAATTAAGACAATAGAAATTGCTTAAGCACTTTTTTTGTACTCAGCGGCTAAGGTTTCCAAAGCTGCGGCATAAGCAGACAAAAGTTCCTTCTTGGCAGCAGCTAAATCAGCATCTTCTTCGGGAACTGCGACAGCAGGTAACGATGCAATTTCAGGAATCACTAATTTAGCCAAAACTTCTTCCACCACAACTGGTTTCTCTTCAACGACGGATTTCGGATTCAAAGATTTCTCGTGCTCGACAAGAGCGAGATGAGCGGAGCGAGATTGAATTACGTCTTGTGGTTCAGGAACGGCAACTGGTAGATCGGCGCCTTCAGCATTGAAGCCTTCTTCACCAGCAGCGACATAATTTACGGTGTGTTTACCGCCATCGGTATCGAGGAATGTAAAACTGCCAACCACTTTTCCATCTTGAGATCTCTCTTCCGTTCTTGACGAGTTCTTTGTGTTGTAGCTGAGTTTGTAATTGCCCAAAGTATCCTCGGCGAAATCAACGTAGGATTCTTCGACTGGAGCGCACAAGGCAACTGCCAGAATGGCAGAGAACAGAACCTGTGACACAAAAATATATTATGTATTTAACAATTAAAAACCAAAGGAAAATTGGTGTACTTACAAATGTATGCATCGTGTTGTTTTAGTGAATACCGAAACTGGAATGATTATCTGAAAAAATGAGTGGCGTTTATATATTAATGAAAAAAAGAATGTCGTGTTCGAAGTTTGCCTTTCAAGGTAATTTCAATGTTAAAAATCATATATTTGAAGTTTATCGAAGGCCATAATAATAAGAAATTGGAAAATGTATTGGATATATATATATATAGTACATTTTCTATTGGAATGTATCCAACTAAAAACAATTATAGAAAATTATTTGAAAAAATAACATAATTCACACAAAAATGGAAAAAAGTATATTACATTTTTTCAGTTTTTCGTGAATTTCTCGACAACCCCTTAAGATAATTACATCATCGACCACCCGTATGAAAGCTGAATATTTTAACTTTCCAACGCACCTATATACATCTTTATGACATCATGGAGTCGGCTGTTATGAGCTGTAGAAATTGAAAAAAAAGAACACATTCTTAACGTTTTATACGTAACACAGAAACGACGGTTATCTCGCCATTTTTCAGTGTTTTCGGTATTTCGTGAATTTCTCAACAACCCCTTAAGATAATTACATCATCGACCACTCGTATGAAAGCTGAATTATTCAACTTTCCAACGCGCCTAGATACATCTTTGTGGTGTCATGCTGTCGTTTGCTATGAGCTGTAGAAATTGAAAAAACATCGAAATGACGTTTTTGTAAGTTTTTCGTGAATTTCTCGAAAGGACGTTTTTGTTGTTTTTTTTCAGTTTTTCGTGAATTGGAATAAAAGTGAATAGGATTTTCTTAAAAATATTTACATGGACTTTTCATAAATTTAAAATATTTAAAGCTCTGAAAACGGATACTTTTACGGAGTTTGGTTAAGCTAGTTATAAATTATATGACAATTATATGATAAAATAAAAATAATTATTTGTATACAAAAATATATTTATTTAGAATTAATATCAAAAGCAATAATAACAGAAATCTTAAGCTATTTTCTTGTAAGCATCGGCTAACGATTCCAAAGCTTTTCCATAAGCTACTAAGAACTCAGCCCTGGCAGCACTCGTTTCAGCATCTTCTTCTGGGACAGCAGAGGCTGNNNNTAATGATGTCTTGGGTGTCTGATACTGGAACTGGAAGATCAGCTCCATCGGCCTTGAATCCGTCTCCAGCAGCAACATAAGAAACAGTGTGTTTGACTCCATCGGTATCCAAGAAACTGAAACTGCCAATCACTTTTCCATCTTGACTCCTTTCTTCGATTCTAGATGAATCTTTAGTATTAAAATTCAGCTTGTAGTTTCCCAACGTGTCTTCAGAAAAATTAACGAATGATTCTTCAACTGGAGCACAAAGGGCAACAGCCACGACGAGGGCAGATAAAACAATCTGTTGAAAAGAAGAAACATATTATTAATTTAAATATATTTGCTATTAAAATATTATACTTACTAAAGTGTTCATGTTGTTACAATTGTAGTGGAAATGATACAATGATTCTAAATGGAAGTACAAAGTTATTATATACGTTTTATTTTCCAAAAGAATGTCACATTTACTGTGTAATGAAGTAATTATGCTTTTAATTATATTGCTTTCTCCAAATTTGTGTAGTTCCAACCAAATTGAAATGTTAATATTTTTGAAGAAAATTTTGGAACTTTTTAAAAAGTATTTATTATTATATGTTTTAAGACAGATAAATCTTATACAGTTAATTATTATACTATAATTAATCATTATTAAAGTTTAAATTTTTATAAAGAAAAAAAAATAGTAGTTTTAGCGAATGTTCTGAATTTATATTAAATATTTGTAAACGATCTATTAGAGATGAATGTAATTTGTTAGAAATTATTTTACTGCAAATACTGGTTTTGCATCAATAGTTTGGATTTGAGAACATTAGACAAATTCTACTCCTTTTTCGACCCCGAACAACTACTGTTCAATTTTGATAGTAATTAAAACAAATAGATATACAACAAATAAAGTAGGTTTTAATATTTGTTCAGTTATTTAAAAAACACAGAATCCCATAATTATACATGTGATCTGTGCTGAATAACATTATTTAGCATTACAATTCATTAAAAACTATAAAAAATTGGGGAAAGCAATGACCAGCAACCTTCAATTACTTTTATGTGAATTGGTTAAATATCTTAATTACTTAAATACTTTGAAAATCATCAACGGTAAAAGTGACATTCTTTTGGAAAATAAAACATATATAATAACTTTGTCCCTCCAGTTAGAATCATTGTAACATTGCAACTACAACTGCAACAACATGAACACTTTAGTAAGTATAATATAATATTTAATAGCAAATATAATTAAATTAATAATATGTTTCTTCTTTCCAATAGATTGTTTTATCTGCCTTCGTCGTGGCTGTTGCCCTTTGTGCTCCAGTTGAAGAATCATTCGTTAATTTTTCTGAAGACACGTTGGGAAACTACAAGCTGAATTTTAATACTAAAGATTCATCCAGAACCGAAGAAAGGAGTCAAGATGGAAAAGTGATTGGCAGTTTCAGTTTCTTGGATACCGATGGAGTCAAACACAGCGTTTCTTATGTTGCTGCTGGAGATGGATTCAAGGCCGATGGAGCTGATCTTCCAGTTCCAGTATCAGATACAGAAGACATCATTAACTCTCGTTCTGCTCATCTTGCTCTCGTTGAACACGAGAAAGCAACACATCCAAAATTAGAAGTCGAAGAGGAAGATGAACCAGTTGCCGATGTTTTGGCTAAGTTGGTTTTACCAGAAATTGCTTCTTTGCCAGCCTCTGCTGTCCCAGAAGAAGATGCTGAAACGAGTGCTGCCAGGGCTGAGTTCTTAGTAGCTTATGGAAAAGCTTTGGAATCATTAGCTGAAGCTTACAAGAAAATAGCTTAAGTTGTTTACTTCTATTATTATTACATTTGATTTTATTGTAAATAAACATATTTTTATACCCAAATTATTATTATATTTATTTCATATTTTTCACAATGAACCAAATATAGAAAAATACATTCTTAAAATTCAATATTTAAAAAAAAAATTTGCAGCTAATTATGAATCACTGATAAAATCATCAAACAAATTTCTCAATTAATGAAACATCATTTTACAACTTAATTAAAAAATTTCCCTGTTAATTACATAATTTTGGATAATGATATGATTCAAAAATTGGAATAATAAAGGTTCAAATCAATCTATTAAAAGCAGTGAAAGTAAAAGTTAAAAAATCTTCATCAGTTATCAAATATTTTTAATGAGTCGTTGAGCTTAATGTGATGGAAATATTTTAAAATTTAATTAGTTTAAATAAGACAGAATTTTACTTAGAATTTTTTACAATTAAAATAATATTAAAAGTTAAATTTATAAAATCAATATTATTATATTCAATTTACTTAATTCTTGTTTAATATAAACTATTATAATAATAGATATAACCTTTACCTGTAAAATACTTATATAATCATTATTTAGTAACATTAATTATTAAAGTTCAAATTTGAATATTTGTTAAACATTTCAAAAAAAAAAAACTTTAAAGAAATGCATATTGATTAAATAATAATCACAGCGACTGATGAAATCACATATTGAACATGATATCGAAATAAGACATTGCTTCTTGCACTTGTAATGTTTACTTTACATAAATAAAGGATTAAATTATAGAAAAATATCACGTTAAATGCAAATACATTATAATTATTATTATTTGCACAGTTTTTCCGACCACACATAATCATAATAAAATTCGTTATGGCTACAGAAGTTTAATTTATTCTAACATAATAGAAAGACTCGAAAGTTATATGATTTATGGATATATTCTTATTAGTTGTTAAAAAAAGTGTTATTAAATAAGAATTACAATATCTCAAAAAAATATAAAAAATCAATACTAAAATGAAAAATGTATAATCAAAAAAGACATTGATATCTTTTGATTACTTGAAAGTCTTAGAATTGAAAAGATTTAGTTTGGCTATGGAAAATATTCGTGTTTCGTTTAACTAAATGTTTAATTAATGTTGTTTTCTTGAAAAAGTTTACATGAAAGTGAAGGAATTGAATATGTAAGTTTTTTTTAATATTTGCTTTCAATAAAATTCCTGAACTGAATTCTTTGCTCTTCATTAAAATGCGTTTAATATACAATTTTGTGTCACGTGCCGAAGAAATGTTTTACCTATAAATGTTGTAAAACCTTGAAAGTGAACTAATTCAAATTCATTTAAATAGGTAATCGCTTCCAAACTTGGGCACATATCCCAACGTTCGTTCCAACTATGAATACCTTAGTAAGTACTCAAAAAAATAATAATATTTTTGTTTATAAATTTATATAATTTTTATTTTTCAGATCGTTTTCGTGCTGTTTGTGTCAAGCGCTTTATGCGCCCCAGTTGACGAAGGCTCACTCCAATTCGCAGAGGACACCTTGGGCAATTACAAGTTAAACTACAACACGAAGAATTCTTCTAGAACCGAGGAGAGAAGTGAAGACGGTAAAGTGGTCGGCAGTTTCGCTTTCTTAGACGGTGCCGGCGTCAAGCATACCGTGACCTACGTAGCCGATGGTGAAGAAGGCTTCACGGCCGTCGGAGACGATCTTCCAGTGGCCGTAGCCGAAACCGAAGAAGTCAAGAAGGAACGTGCTTTTCATCTTGCTCTCGTTGCGCACGAGAAATCAGTGAACCCACCATCAGATATCGAGGAGGAACGTGTACCAGTCGATCAGGTTCTTTCTAAGTTAGTAGTCCCAGAGATCGCCAGTTTACCAGGACTTGCAGTTCCCGAAGAAGACGTCGAAGTTGCAGCAGCCAAAGCCGAGTTTTTAACAGCTTATGCAGAGGACCTCAATCGTCTAGCTGAAGAATATAAGCGACGCGTTTAAAGTTATGTTTAAATAAAGTTGTTGATTTTCTAAAATGCATTCAATTTTTATTCATTAGTGTTAATTAGATCTAGGAAGTGAGATCATTTAGGAAATGCGGTATTAACGTAATTTATCGTCGCTGCATTTAATTAGATCCCCTTCTACGGATCGAATGTTTGAGCAGGTAGTGGAGTAGTAGGCACTACTCCCTCATGACGTATAAATAAAAATGTGAAGGCACGAACCTGCTTAGTCGTTTCCACATACTCGCGGTTGTGGCACTGTGTTGTTACATGTCTTCGACTCGTGCGTGCACTTTCACTAGAGTTATGTTTTGATCATATCCGTTTCGTTCTATCAAACTGTTGTTGTTGTTGTTGTGTGTTTTTGCTTAATGTGCATGTGATTTCGTCTTCGTAGCTGCTCAATGATGAGAATGTCGTTGAACGATGAGCAACGTCCGAGAATCACGGTGAAATGTGAAAGTTTCCTTTTCGTTCACCTTTACCTGCTGCTCTTCACTTTTGCCGGTAAATCGAAAACAAAAACAAACATTTCGGGTGACCAGTCCAGGTCTAGTCCAGTCTCGGATACTTTCTAGATCCGCTTTGCAAATTCCCTCATTTAATAAGTGCATTCCAATAATTGAATTACATATCTATAAATAGCTCACATTCCAACTGTTCTGCATATTTAATTAATTATAAAGTCAAACAAATATTATTCTAATCGTACTGTTTATCGTTTCAAATCAATTTAATGATTTATTAAGTACTTATAAGTAATTTTGTTTCTACATTTTAATTACAAAATAATCAATATTTACAATAATTTATAGCCAAAGTTTTCTATTACAAGCAAATGTAACAATTTATTCTATTTCTATCCATTTGTTTCTGACATTGATCGGAATTCCTTGAAAATTAACATCGCACAATTACGAAATTCATTTAGTTAAACTTCATGTTAATTTCAATCACATCAATGTCAATCATTAAAATTGCTCCAAAACGAAAAACTCTTTAGATATATTTTTATACATATATAAAAGACGTTTTCAATTTGTTCATTACTAGAAATTTGTTAAGTTATATTACGTGAGACACTTCAAGTTCTTTCCGAAACGGCGAGGTCAGTCTACTGCATTTTTTCCACAGCGTAAATAGAATGCGCTTGGAATAAACAGCCCGATTAGTTCTTGCTATTCACTGAGTAAATACCAACATTTCTTATGATTTTCATATTAAAAACGTTACTTTTATAATATAACATCAATTTTGTAAATATTGCTTAAGTATTGATTAAAATACTGATAAAGTAAGTAATTTAAAGTCAATTGAGTTTCAAATAACATAAATTAAACGATCGTTGAATTAATAAAGAAGACTTGATATTTTGTTATAAAATTCAAAAGTTTAAATGTTGTCCTATTAAAGAATTTAAAAAAAAAATAGAAAGTTTTTATTTTTTCTATTTTCATTTAAAATCTACTTTCATCCGATAAAATATGTATGAGATATATCGATTGGTATTTGAATAAACATTAAATTTAGTTAAATCTAAATATAACAATTATATTTGCTAATTATTATCTTAATGAATCATTATCATCATTATTGTAAAATAAATACGATAATAGTGAATATTTTGATAGATCTTAAATCTTAAACAATTGCATTTCATATAATACTTATAGAAATAATAGGTTTATATGAAATGCACTTTCTATTTGCATGCAAGAAATTTTGCACCAAATAATTTTCAAAGAAACAGTTTTTCGATTAACCTACACGTCTTTATCGAAGCGTTGCAGTAAAATGAACACATTATGCAATATTTCAACTTAAATATTTGAGAATATACAAAAATGTATTATCTATACTAATGGGATAATCAACTGGGATAAATTACCCCAAATGGGGTAAACAATTTATTATTTCTGTGAAAAAAAAATTAGAATTCATAATTTTTTAACATTTATTTCAAATAACTTTATATAATTAGACATAAATAACTTAAGAAAATAAAGTTTTCATTATTATAAGTGATGATAATTAATAAAAACAAATGAAAGATATTCCATGGAAGATTTGTTTTTATAACTTTTACTCTTATTTCGTTGGAATAACAAATCTTCCACAACGCAACGTGTGAATATAAGATGAGTCATTAGAAACTATCGTTGCATGAGTTGTCGGCAAAGTTATTCGACTTCATCTCATTTAATTTATTCCAGATATGCAACAAACTGATCCCATTGTAACCAAACTTGCAAAACCCGTATTTTACAGTTTCTCATTAACGCGATTTAATTGTAATTAATAAAGTCGTCGCTAAAATGACTGGCATTTGAAATGGAAGCGCCGACGAAATTAGAAGACTTTCATTTTCAATTGATGCTTCGCGCACGTGAGAAATTTGGAAAGTTATTTCTCTGGATACACGATAATCACTAAAACATATCTTATAATCTATTTCGTGAAAGTGCTCTCGCAGTTCTCAGGACAAATATTAACAATTTGCATTTTCTCGATGGAACAAATGAAAGTGATTTGCGCGTTTTTCCCGTACGCATTTCCAACGACGATCGTTTAATTTCTGTCTTTAAAACTCGCGTGTGGGCGAATCCGAGGAAAGTCCGAAATGATTAATGGCAAAAAGAAAACTTTCTTTCTGTTCTCAATAACGACGGAATGAAACGGAGGGAAACCCCACGGTTCATGTATACCCGTAAAGGTCATATTGGATGGATTTCTTCTGATACTTGTTGTGTGGGTCTAGGTTGAATGGAGTTGCTTCATTTGGTTGCGCTTAGAATAATGTGCCGTGTTAATTGAGCGATGCAAATTGAATCTATGGAAAAACAGTGTCAACTCTTAACGAATATTTCTTCATTTCAAGCGCGAACTTGGAATTATTAATTGTTGTTTTCTTTTGCAGGGGTTTATGGGCAAGCCGAGAAGGAACCGAAGAAACCTTCGACAGTTCAAGAGTTGTACAATACCAGTTCCTGCATACCAAAACCATACATTTGTCCGCATCCTATGATACAATATTATTTATACACAAGGTAAATAAGTTTGTTAAATTTACTAGTTTCCACCCGAAATCAACAACTTCTGTACTTACTCAAAACATTTTTTTATATCTCCTAAGGTCTTTTTCAACAACTTGCTTCATTTGCACTAAAGGATACTTTTTAAATTATGCTCGATACAAATTTGATAATGCAAGAAAATATGACTACAAAAATTATTAATTTAACTTATTGTTAATACTTAAAACATTTACGTAGTAGTCAATAAAGTTTCCTTAAATTAATATGAACTTGTTTCACATGCATTTTTTATATCTTCTACAATTTATTTCGTTAGTTTCATCTGTTGAATCCAATTAGAAATCTTTGAAATGATATTCCTTAAAATCATGCTTGATTTTAATAATATCTTGCAGATTAGTTCAATAAACGATGCTAAAATGAGTAGAAATATTATTAATTTACTTTTTTTTCATACTCATAACATTTACCTTAAAATTTTGTTAGTGGTTTAGTGCTTATTCTAGTTAACTAGATAAGACAGGTAAAATAAGTAGAAACATTATCAACTTACTTTCTTTTGATAATTATAACAATTACATAACACTGAATAGAGTTTCCTTGACTTGATATCAATTAATTTCCTCTTTGCTTGTTGATTTACCAGGTTAATTTTATTTCCAGATTTCTCTTGTACGTGTATACAATATGCAAATGAATTCGGTTTAAAATGAATATTAAATAATTTCAAATAATAATGTAATTAAAATATTGTAAAAAATACACAAATGTTTGATTTGCTATTAAATAGTTATTACCTGGACTTACTTGACTTCTCTAATATTCGTAAAAATAGAGAAAGCAATTGAGTAAAGCTATAAATATTGCAATTAACTTCAAATAAAATACCAATAATTATTAATATTATGTTAAATATCCTCTTTACAACTATAACGACTTTTTAAGTTGGAAATGTGTAATTTATAAACATTAACTAAATCGATAGGAAAATTGCATTTTATTAATACTAGTATTGTATAATGAATGTAATATAAACCTTGTTCTAACTTGAATAATTAAGATTTTATTCAGGAAACAGACACTGATATCAAAGTAAGCGGAAAGGAAATTAACATTACTCTTACGTAAACAAAGAAAAGGAAGAACAAAAGAAAGTGACGTCAGGTATCTTTAAAAAAAAAATTGATGCATGGAACATGCGAAACGTCCGATAATTATCGCAATAATTTCCTGTACAACGAATGCCTGTATTTTTAATGTACATGAAATTATCCTCGTGCCGAAGTTTAATTATGCGAGAAAAAGAAAAAGTAAATAATAACATCTACAGGTTCAATATACACAATACAATACAAATCGCGACAGTTTTGTAACAATCCTTCCATTAAGCAGTTTAATCGTTCCGAAATTTAAGCTTCGATGGACATTAGCGTAGTGATTTTGCAAATACTAATGACATAGTAAACATATACTTTCTACAAATTTCAAATTATGTAATTGTGTGTGTGTTTAATTTCTAGGCGTACTCAATATAATCCCGAATTGATAGATACTTTGAGGCCGGAGTCGCTTTACAAATCGCAATTCAATAGGGCGCACGCAACGAAAATCGTGATTCACGGCTTCGGTGGTGGTAGGAATTTGTCTCCTAGCACCGACATGAGAGAGGCTTACTTCTATAGAGGAAACTATAACATATTTATAGTTGATTATGGTACGTTGGTGAAAGAGCCTTGCTTGAAGCAGATGGAATGGGCTCCCAGATTTTGCGCTCTCTGCGTAGCCCATTTGGTCCGATACCTCACCCAACATCCCAGAGGCACCAGAGCCGATCGGCTACATCTGATCGGTTACAGCGTCGGAGCTCATATCTCTGGATTAGTTGCTAATTACCTGGAATCCCACATCGACGGGAAATTGGGTAGAATTACAGGTATTTATCTTACTCACACGATTGTCAGGTTTAAACACAACTTTTTTTAATTTATAGGTTTAGATCCAACTATAGTATTTTATTCTGGACAGAACAAGTCAAGAGATTTAGACCCGAGCGACGCGCATTTCGTCGATATTTTGCACACGAATTCCGGAATCTTGGGTCAATGGGGACCCAACGGTCACGCCGATTTTTACATCAACGGTGGCTCTAGTCAACCCGGATGCGCGAGCGACACACTCTTCAGTAAATTATCAACAAAAAAAATAAATTACCCAAAAATTAATTTTTCCATATTTCTTGCAGAAACTTTAGCTTGTGATCACACGAAAGTTACCCCTTATTTCATTGAGTCTATAATAACACCACGAGGATTTTGGGCCTACCCCTGTCCAACACTCATCAGCTATCTATTAAGGATTTGCAATCCTGACGAAGAAGAGTACGTTCTAATGGGCGAGCACGTTTCCAATAGGTAAAACTAAACTATTCAATCTTAATTCTTAAATTATACATTTTGCATTGCAGAGCGAGGGGTATATATTACGTAACCACCAATGCGGAAGCTCCGTTTGCACAAGGTCACCCATTAAAAGTAGATAGAGAAACTTTAAGAAGAAAGAATCCAAATTATATTTAAATATAACTAAAGTTAACAAAAAATTTAAATTCACTGTCAATTAATTTATTATTAGGTTTAAATATTGTTGTAAGATTTAATGTAAATTTGATTTTTCTAAGAAAAATATAGTGAGATGTATAATATGTTTGCACAAATGTATTTTATTTATTGATTAATGTACATGAAATATATTTATTTTTCCACATTTAGTCAAATAAGTTTCTTTTCACTTTTCATCGCTGATTACTTTTTTTCCAAAAAACTGAGATGCAAATGCTTCCGCAGGCTTGTAAACAATAAAATCAACTATCATTAGGCGAAATATGGACACAATATTGTTAATGGTTCAAAAGTTATAAAAGTTTTAAGTTGCACTTCAATTGGGTCGCCCTATACAATTTTTCAGCTAAAAAACAGATCCACGATTTGCGCAAATTATGAAAATTGTTTGTGAAATTTCTCCAAAACTTAGAGAAGAAATTCATGTTTTATAAAATATCAATTTAGTGTAAATAAACATAATACTAAAAGTATATGATTTCAGAATCAAAAAGCGTTTATATATAAATTAAACTTCCTTAAATCAAAAGATCTTACTTTATAAACTTATAGAACGGACTTTTAAATGGATATGGAATTTATTAAAATTAGAAGTCAAATATAATTTGTAACAGATTTATGATTTTATTATTTTTATGCTAATACATGGATTAGAATCAAAAGTAATACGGATCACATATTAAGACAGAAATAATGATAATAATAATAACAAGGTAAACTTTACATACATCTCAATACACATAAAACACATTCAATTCTTCAACTACGAGTCTCAATAGAACGAAAAGAAAGAAAAAAAGTAAGGATTTCATCTGAAAATTTACATTAATTATTATTATATTACACATTCGAAGAGAACAAATACTGCTTTCAACGTACAGTTAGAGAGAAATATTACAATCGGAGTCGACGACAAAACCTTTACAATTGCTTCCTTTGTACAACGTTTCCATTACTATAATAATTCCAATACTAATTTTCTGTTTATTGCCTCTACACTATATAACACGATAATAAAATCGCTATTTAAATTAAAGTTTTTCTTTTCTTTTGTTGATTAAATTATAAAAGAAACGAACTAAATAAGTGAACACAATTTTTCTGATACATACAAAAGTTTACCTAGAACATCAACGTATAATACAAATGGTTAAGCTACAAGCGTGAAAGGATTCAAAATAAAGTTTCAACAAATTCTACGTATTACGCTTCATATTGACCAGAGAGAGAAGATTACATTTGATTTTTTTTTCATAAAGGCGTCAGGAGATATTAATTTCTTAACTTTTATTATTAATACAATTATTGATACAACACCTACAACATTTACAACTATAGGAATGTAATGAGTCACGATTAGGGGAGGATTCTGCGAAGCTCCCCTAAAAGAGAACCTTTAGGCCCACACGAAACCTCATATTTACACTTACTTCATTTAAATATATATATAATTTTTTTTCCCCAATCTTTCATCAAAGCAATTATTTTACATTCATTTATATTATTTACATGAAAATATCAATAAATCATTCGATTCAAATCAATTATTTCAGTTAGTTTTTTTTTGGTATTGCTTTGATGAAGCGAATTCTAACAAATTTAAAGGCATAATTAAATGAATCATTATTGGAAGATAATCATGTTTTTGATTAGTTTGAGTTATTTGGGTACATTGAACTTAGTATAAAAATTGAGCTAGTGGATTCGAAAGATTCTGATTCAGTTAATTTTGCCGCTAACATTTTATGCTTATAATAAATTAAGTACGTTTTATTCGTACATATTATTATTAACAAATCCTCTAATATTCATATATAGACATATAGATTTATTATTTATAAATTGACTAAGTTTTCTAATTAATTACATTGCTCAGTTTCCCGATCCATTTTCAGTTTCGTTTAATTACCTTAAATTTTCTTAAATCAATTAATTTATATACATGATACTATGTAGAAATCATTTCTAAACATATCCAGTATATTCACTACATAGTTGTAACACTTGTCATATATTCAATGATAAATTAATTGATTACTTTCAATTAGTTATTACTGATTCATAACAAGGTTACAACTTTTAAAATAAACATTAAATCTAACAACAGATTCATCCACGATCGCGCCCAAAAATAAACATCAAATCCCTTAATTTTCCATTTTGTACTTGAACTCCTCATTGCTCTATTAGTATTATTATTGTTTTACTAAATTTGTATTCCAATAGCTTTCATTCATATCCATTCATTCAACTCACACGCAAATAAATATCTATACATACTTAAAAACTAGTCCTTATATCGTCAGCAATGCTAACGATTAATTATTATATTTGGGGTGACATTGCGAATCGCGCGTTGTCACCGTAATTATTGTCTGCACAGCCTTGAGGATATATCAGAACACCTCAAATAGTATTTCTCATTTCTTCCTTATAGAAATTAGTCAACGCAAAAGTCTAACTGAAAGTAAACGTAGTCTATTCAACGTAAAAAAACAAACAAATATATATATATATATGCATAGTAAGTATATAGTACAGTTTAATTGATAAATATTTGAGTCGATAAATTCATTAACAATTTTTAGTTGCTTCTATTTCAAAAATTATACTTTAACAATAGATTTCTCTTAGTTTTATTTTATCATTTAACAACTATACAATTATATATTTATATGTATCATTTATTTATAGTTTGCAATACAATAGAAGTGTTATATACTATTATATTCACAAATACATAATATAATGTAATCATTTAGTATTTAATTAAGAAAAAGTAACTTTGAAGGAATTTCACATTATGTTTATTATAATTTGATTACAGCGTCGAATTTAGTTATTACAGTATAGAAACATTAAAAAAATGTGAATAAATTGATGTTCTAAGAACGAATTACTTTAATAGAAAACAAAAATTTAGTTATAAAGTTAAGAAAAACAATAAGTTATAATCAGGATTTCAAATCAATTAAATATAACTGAGACATTATATTATGTATTTCGTTATACTCGAACGGTATATTTCAGAAATGTACAATTCAATATATTACATGTTTATTATGTTAATTTAATGTTTCTCAATTTGATGATCTTAATTTTTTTGGGAAAAAACAAATCGTTTCATTAAATTTTCGAATCTGAGAAACACTGAATATCACAAAAGTTTTCAAACGAAATGTATCGGAAAGTATAGATAAATGACGTATTTTCTTTTTTTATCTTAAACATTTCGTAATTACAAATTAATCAACAGATTTTTTTTTTCTTTTTAGTTTTATTCCTTATATTCTATCTAATATATTTTATATTATTTGTCGTAATGTTAATTCTATTTGTTATTTGAATATAAGCTATAATATATCAATTTTTTTTTGTAAATTTTATATTGTTTTAAACGATAATTTGTTGTTTGAAATTGACGAAGATAAATATATTTATTTCAAGCTATAATTAGTTTTTTTAAATAATATTTCATATTTTTATATTATACTAAGTTTTGTGCGTTTGACACACTAAATGAAATATGTTTTTTTTTTGTTTTTAATACATTGAGAATGTTTCATTGAAATGTAAATAAGAAAGATGATAACAATATTATTGAAACTGGCAGCAAATAAGTAATTTGTTTGTGAATGTAAATAATAATTATGGATTTTCTTATAACTTATCTAGTAATTGCGATCTTCAATGGTTCCGTGCAAGTAAGAATCTTGAGCTGGCGGCTGCACGGGTTCTTGTCGGAAAGGATTATTGAATGGATTAGTGTTGCCTGTGCCTGTGCTAGTTCCCGTTGCGAAAGGATTTACAGACACGCCGCCACCCTGCGCCGCCGTCGCCGGTGGCTGTGGTCTCGGGGGTGGAGTGGGCTGTTCCACGGATCCATACGTTATCGTCTTACCCGATAACGAGGTCTGTATTAAGCCGTTACTCTGGGCCTTATTAAGTAAGAACATATCGAGATTTAGTTCAATTTCTTCCAGCGCGCACTGAAATGAGTACTTACGGTTGGAGATTTTTTAATGTAAACCGTTTCATCCATTGGATTCCATTGCTTCTCCTCCTCGGCTAGAGTGTCAGCCCAGTCTTGAAGCTCTCCGGAGGCGAATAGTCCGTAGAAGATTACACCTAGGAAATGGACAGTTGCTCCCAATGTGAATACCTTTTTCCAGTTTTCCGCACTCTAAAGAACAAAAAAAATGATAATATAATCCAATATTACATTACTGTAAGTTGTAATATACAAATTTTGGAATTCATATTTTATTGTCTGTCGTAATTTCCATTCTTTAATTTTATGACTTGTTATACATTTTAATAGGCATATATATTTGTGCTTTTATGATTTGAGTTTTACACATCATGAATTAGCATAGACATTTAATAGTTTCGATGCAAAGCAGTGGTAGTAGGTTTATTGGAGATCGGCGACGCAGAATGGTTGAATTTGTAAAAGCGAGGCGTCGCGGGGGCGATGGTTTGCAGACGCGGTGGTGCAGAACGGAGGGTGGATGAGGGATGCAATCGCTCTTTTATGATATATCGCCCGTTGTTTGGTGGAAGGAGAGGGATGAAGGGAGGCTTTAACTCATAACCAGAACGCGTGTAACATCAGAATGAATGTCAAATTTGCTGTGCAGCGAAGGAGGGAAGGAAGCACTGATTTATCAAACTAAATTAAGCTATACGTTAGTGCACTTACCGGATTCTCGTCCGTGAAAGCGTGCACAGCAATCGGTACTATGCAACCGGCTATTGTCCCTATACCGTTCGACATTCCCATGAGTATACTGGCATACTTTGGAGCTATGTCCAGATGGTTAACATTGAAGCCAGATATCGCGAAGCCGCTGAAGGCAACTCCGAACGTTAAGGCGGTGATGGCTTGCGTATAGGATTTCGAGAAGGCGACTACCAAGAAGAAGGTAGCTTCCATACCGAAGCCGCCGCAGTTGAAGACTTTACGAACTTGTGTAGTAGTCATTATACCTTGCGTTCTTAAATAATCCGCCAAGATTCCACCGCTCGGTACAATTATAGTCATCAGCAAATGCGGCAGCGCTCCCAATATAGCGTTCTAATAAAAAAAAAACAAACACATATAAACCATTGATATTATTACAATAATGATAATAATATTACCTCCTCGATATCAATTCCATACACGTCGTTGATGTAACTAGCTTGGAAGAGGACGAGCAAATAGAAATTCCAAGACCTACAGAAATTCGCTATGAATATCGACCAGACGGGCAGAGATGTGAAGAAGGCCTTCCACGGAGTGTTCGCTATAGTAGGTAAAGTGTGTGACTGTACCGAACCACCTAAAGAACTCTCGATGTATCGCAATTCTTTGGCCTCTATCGTCGGATGTTTGCTGGGCTTTTCGAAGACCATCCAGATCCACAGCAAATACCAAGTGACTCCCATTGCACCGTAGAAGTAGAAAGGAGCTTCCCATCCTATCCTCTTGATCAACTCACCGCACAGCGGCATCGCGAGCATGACACCAGCGTAACATCCGCAGAAGGCTAAGGTGGCCAAACGCGAACGCTCCAACGGTGGAGCCCAATACCTCCAGATACCATGGCAAGCTGGATATGTCACGCCCTGTATAAAATTACACACATTATTAGCAAATTCATTTTTCGTACACCGATCGGAATTCTATACTAAAATTCCGATCTTCTTGAAAATCTGAAAATAAAACGTAATTAATTATTCAAGATCGTTTTGTTATGTTTGTTGAAAATATTATTATTATTACAGTAATTAGTTTATTAAAAAGCTTTCATCATTTTAGTATATATACACTGTGTTATATTGTAGTTTTATAGCCAAAGTGTGCTTATTACCGGTGTAGAAATCGGTGTGTTATTTGATCTAAGTGTTTTTTATTTGATTTTAATTTTGTGCTGCTCTTATTGATGTGTTCATGTAATGTAATTCGTGTTCAATTTCGATCGATCATCATGTGTAACTATGAAATAGAAATACACAACTATATTATTATTATTATTAATAATAATTGATTTTTTTTTTGTTACCTTCGTTACGTTTATATTTCTATAAGAGAACGAGAATTTTTAGTAATTAACATTACAGAACATTTAAAACGCTTGCGATAGAACAAAGAAGACAACATAAGAAAACTGTGCTCTTTAAAACGGAAAAATTGCGTGGAATACGTGGAAAAAAATAATAAACGTGACTAGAATCGATTTTTGGTGCTTTTCTGGCTAAACTCATTCAATCTAAGCTGAAAATCGAACTGCAATTATTGTTTAATTAAAAGTGATAATTGTTTATTTTGATCTTTGACCTGTTTGATTTTCAGCTGATATTATTTGTTCATATGCCTTGTGCCATATGCCAACATGCGAGTGGTGTTCGTGAGAGTGTGAGTGAAGACAAACAATCAATCAATCAATCATATCGAAATGGATGCGTCGACCAAAGTCAGCGCATCGGTAAATAAAGGAAATAAAAATTGTGCAATAATCTTACTTCAACCAATCCTTGTAACACCCTGACTACAATAAGAGCACCTTTTCCGAGATTCAAAGCGCCCGGGACCAGAAGATTTAGGAAGGAGGAGGTTCCGATGGCGCCGCCGAAGAGCTTGTTGGCCGGATACTTCGTGGCCAGGAAACCACCGGGTACTTGCGTGATCAGGTAACCCCAGAAAATCGACGCATCCACAGAAGAGAGAGTTTCGTTCCTCTGCAACAACATTACGACGACCATTTAGATTGAGATCGGGATTGAGTAGTGAAGGGAGAGGGATGTCATATTTTCGTTACTTCCGTTTCCCATTTATTAATGTGACTTCGTTCTGTGAAAAATGCGTCCTTTCACGAGCAAAGTGCTATCGTTTCCGGTTCTGAGTTCGTGTTTTTTTCCAAAAGAATCGGAGGGCTTTATGCGAACCCTCTCCTACATATATATATAATGGACATAGAATTTTCGGATCCAACAAACCGATGCAATCGTGAGCGCGCATCGATCGTAATCGCTTTAAAAGCCTTTTGTGTTGCAACCCCACACTCATATACACACATATATAGACAACTCTCGTAACCCCCTCGCAAAAGAAAAACATCCATAATATAATTCATTGTGTTGGAAACGAAACTCACTTCTTTCTCCAATCTCAGTTTCGCTAAGCCCATGTTGCATCGCATTCCAAACATGACCATGAAGCCGACGCAAGTGAGGATCGCGACAGTGACACGTTTCGAGATGCAAGGGAATTCCGGCTTGATGTACTTGTCGATGTGTCGTAGGGGTGGTCGATCCGGCTCTGGAACGCTGTCCGGTGTGCTAGCCCCGTCGTCGATCGCCCCATCATCCCCTTCGTCCTTCGACGCCCCAAATTCTTTGTACCCACCGCCGCCCGCATTCCTAAAAAATCAAACATCCTCATCAGATCCACAACCTTCGTCACTCAACACATTCCAAACTGGACATCTCTATTCAACATTATCACATCTTTCTCACTATTTTTACAAATACTCACATTCAACTTCTTTATCTATAACTTTCAAATTAGATAGTGTTGATTAAATTAGACATAATTTGTAATTAACTAATTCCATATTTGAGCCGTTTATTTTGAAAGTGGCTTAAGTCCATTTTCATCTTTTATCAAGTTGGCACTTGTGACATTTATAATTTATGCTCAACTGTGAAAAAAATAAATCGGTATTGAAATATACTTAGTACATTTGAAAATTTTATATCCCGTACATTTTCAAAATAATATAAATACTGAAAATCCTAATTTTTAAAGTGATTTAAGTGATTTTTTATTGACAATGTCAAAAAGTGAAAGCAGTGATGAAGGTAATTTAAATTACGTTTTGATATTAAATTGAAATTTAAAAAATAATATTTAATTTAAAGAAATTATTAAAGGAAAGGGAAAGGATAAAATAACAAGATTTCTTGATTCTGAAAGTGAAGAGGAATTAAACTCATACAACAGATTTCAAAAAAAGAAGGAGAATTTTAGAAGTTCATTCTTCAACAGAGGAAGAGGAAGTTAATTGAGAATGAGAAAAAATAAACTGGCTTCAAATATGCTGGATGCGATTTTTTAAGAAATGAACCATATAAAATTTTATACAAAACAACCATGGACGAGAATTTATTGCCACGTCTAAAAAATTTCAAAATATTGTATTGCCATCGTTATATAAAAGTATAAGAAGCGACACATCACTAAAATACCGACACATGATGGACTTATTGCGGTATATACCTCCGGAACACCATAACTACTTCAAATCACTCCCACATACTGAGAATGTTAACGAATAACTTGTTACTAAATTTATTTCTATTATCTAAAAATATAATTTAAATGTATTTTTTTCTATTTTTAAGCTATATGTATATGGACTTAAGCTCTTTCACTTTTTGTAACAAAACAAATTTTTATTTTGAAAGTTACCTAAGTCCTTTTAAGGTAAGCAAGGTCGTATTATACACTTAATAATAGCGACTTTTTAATAGGATGTATAAAATTAAATCCCTTAAATGCGATTTAACATTGCAAGTCAACCA